AGCCAAGACAATCATAAGCAAAAAGAACAAAGCTGGAGGCACTGTGCTATACAACTTCCAACTATACTACAAGACTATAGTAACCAAAACAGCATGGGACTGGTACAAGAACAGACACATAACTCGGGAGGCTGAGGCAGGAGAATGGCATAAACACGGGAGGCGGAGCTTGCAGTGAGCTGGGATCTGGCCACTGCAGAGCGAGACTCCATCTCAAAAAAAAGAAAAAAAAAAGGAACAGACACATAGACCAAAGGAATTGAACAAAGAACTCAGAAATAAGACTGCACATCTACAACCATCTGATCTTTGGCAAAAACAAACCAATGGGGAAAGCATTCCCTATTTAATAAATGATGCTGGGAGAACTGGCTAGCCATATGCAGAAAATTGAAACTGGACCCTTTCCTTATACCATGTGCAAAAACTAAAGATGGATTAACAACTTAAATGCAAAACCCAAAACTGTAAAAGCCCTTGAAGAAAATCTAGGCAGTATCATTCAGGACATAGGCATGTGCAGAGATTTTATGACAAAGATGCCAAAAGCAAAAATTGACAAATGGGATCTAATTAAACTAAAGAGCACAGGAAAAAAAAAAAAACTATCAACAAAGTAAACAGACAACCTACAGAATGGGAGAAAATTTTTGCAATCTATTCATCTGACAAAAGTCTAATATCCAGAGTCTACAAGGAACTTAAACAAATTTACAGGAAATAACCCCATTAAAAAGTGGGCAAAGGACATGAACAGACACTTCTCAAAAGAAAGCATACATGCAGCCAACAAATATATGTAAAAAAACGCAACATCATTGATCATTAGAGAAATGCAAATCAAAACCACAATGAAATACCATCTCATGCCATTCAGAATGGTTATTACTAAAAAGTCGAAAAACAAGAGATACTGGCAAGTTTGCAGAGAAAAAGGAATGCTTTTACACTGTTGGTGAGAGTGTAAATTAGTTCAACCATTGTTGAATACGGTGTGGCAATTTCTCAAAGACCTAGAGGCAGAAATACCATTTGACCCAACAATCCCATTACTGAGTATATGCCCAAAGGAATATAAATTATTCTTTTATAAAGATACATGTGCACATAGGTTCATTGCAGCACTATTCACAATAGCAAAGACATAGAATGAGCCTAAATGCCCATCAGTGATAGACTGGATAAAGAAAATCTGGTACATACACACCGTGGAATACTGTGCAGCCATAAAACAAAGAACAAAATCTTGTCCTTTGCAGGGACATGAATGGTGTTGGAAGCCATTATCCTTAGCAAACTAATGTAGGAACAGAAAACCAAACACCGATGTTCTCACTTGTTAGTGGGAGCTGGATGATGAGAACACATGGACACATGATGGGGAACAACACACACAGGGGCCTATTGGGGGCATGGGGTGGGGGTAGGGAAAACATTAGGAGGAATACCTAATGGATGCTGCACTTAATACCTAGGTGATGGGATGATCTGTGCAGCAAACCACCATGGCACACATTTACCTATGTTATCTTTAGATCATTTTTACCTTTTTTAAAAAATGTTTCTTTTTGACCTGAAATTACAGAATCTTATGTAAGTATCCTTCCCTATTCCATTTTAAAATACAAATTTAGAGGACTTTGAAAAATTTAAAATGGACATCCATGGCCTGTTTGATGCCCATTAGATCCCTATAGTACTTAGATCCATGTTTGGTTCTCTGTTCCTATGTTAGTTTGCTGGATAATAGCTTCCAACTCCATCCATGTCCCTGCAAAGGACAAGATCTTGTTCTTTATGGCTGCATAGTATTCCATGGGGGTATATGTACCACAGTTTCTTTATCTAGTCTATCATTGATGGGCATTTAGGCTGAATCCATGTCTTTGCTATTGTGAATAGTGCTGCAATGAACCTATGGGTGCATGTATCTTTATAATAGAATAATTTATATTCCTTTGGGTATATACTCAGTAATGGGATTGCTGGGTCAAATGCTATTTCTGCCTCTAGGTCTTTCAGGAATCACCACACTGTATTCCACAATGGTTGACCTAATTTACACTCCCACCCACAGTGTAATATGCAATATACAAATTTTACCCAGAATGAATATAAGTTTAATTTCTTACAGGTATGCTCAGTGCTTTAAGTTTCATGTGTATTACTTTGGCCAGTTTTGGACAAGGTTATTAATTTATGTATTAACTAATTTATGTAATTAGAATCATTTATTAATGGTGCTAGCCTATTACTTTCTAATGATGGCCTGACATTGCATGATCAACCTTTTTCCTACTGGAGTATTTTAATTGATGCTTTTTTACTTTGTCTTTTCTTCCTATAATAGCTATCTGATATTTTTCCCTTTTCTTTGAGCAATTCATAGCCTAACTCTATGCCTTTTGTAGTATAATACTTTTGCTCCTTTGCATGATTGCAAGATACCAAGTATTCGTATCATTGCTGTGTGACTTCTGTTATTTTACATGGTCATTGGCCACATTGCATCACCAATATCGATCTGTTTGCCATTCTCAGATATTGGTCTTTTTCATTAATAGATAAACTGCTCACTTTTTTTTTTTTTTTTTTTTTTTTTTGAGATGGAGTGTCGCTGTGTCACCCAGGCTGAAGTGCAGTGGCCGGATCTCAGCTCACTGCAAGCTCCGCCTCCCGGGTTTATGCCATTCTCCTGCCTCAGCCTCCCAAGTAGCTGGGACTACGGGCGCCCGCCACCACGCCCGGCTAGATTTTTGTATTTTTTTAGTAGAGACGGGGTTTCACCGTGTTAGCCAGGATGGTCTTGATCTCCTGACCTCGTCATCCGCCTGCCTCAGCCTCCCAAAGTGCTGGGATTACAGGCTTGAGCCACCGCGCCCGGCCACTGCTCACTTTTTAATGTTTTAGTTTCACTAAATTTAAATTGCACTTAACTTATTCAATTTCAGCTTTTTTTTTTTTTTTTAGCTTCCTGATTCCCCATTTCTTATTCTGCTCACTAATCTTTTTCCTTCTTACTTGACATCCTCACACAAGCTGTGTATGGATAACTGCACATTTGAAGTGAACTGTGTGAGGATAACATCCTTTCTTTAACAAAGGAAGAGGACCAAAATGAAACTTCACCTCCCGTCTGAAAATCATTGACTCCCCTTCTACAAAATAGTGTATATTTGAATCAGTTATATTTTCTTTTTCTCCTTTATTGCTTTGTAGTGTTAATTGTACGTGCATGCATGCACATACAATTACAAACATGTTATGACTTCTTACTTCCTAATTTAACAATAACATTAACAATAATTATCGGCACTAATAGTACTGAGCATCTACATTGAGATAGACACTCTTTCGAGGGCTCCATATGTCTTATATAATTTAATTCTAAATTACCAATTATTGAATATTACTAAGTACTATCCTTGTCACCATTTTGCACACCTGGTAAGTTGTAGAGTGGGAATTCAAACATAGGCATCTCACCCCAAGGCCTCAGCAATTTTAACTGCAATAATATATGGCCTTTTAAAAAGTACGATTAAGACAATGTGTTCATGATGCCAAAACAACCAGTTGAAAAAGGTGAAACTAGTCCAAGCCAGATTGTTCTTTATTGAGATAAAAAGGAATACAACTGATCAAATTATATTACTTTCCTTTTAATTCATTTTGTAGTGCAGATGCAATGTGAAAATTGGTTGTCATAAATATTTTTTCTTTCTCTCTTTTAGTGTCATTGGCTCCTTTTTTCTTTTAACTTTCAAATTTATCCTCTTGCCTAATTTTTTCATTAATTTCTTCGGAAAACCCACATATACTCATGCACCAAAAATATGTTAATTGGAAATGATATTGGATTGGTTATATGAACATGTGAATTATTTTTATAAATTATTTTCTGATATTTTAAAATTTAGGAATAGAATACAAAAACTTTATGTTTATGAAGAGTCTTATCAATTTCCATCCTAGGAGCTGATTCGAAGTAACGTAGGGAGTTTTTGTAGCTGACTTGGCATCTGGAGCACAGGATTTTGGTACTCCCATTATGTGCCGTTGTCCTATCTATGGTCGCAGCTACAGTGGTGTCAAACAGTTTTGGACACAGTGACAATGCTCTACCAAAAGCTCCGGGCATGCATTTCTCCATTCTTCTGCCTCAGAGCTTTCTCTGAAGCCAAAGGCTCTCCCTCAGCTCTTGTGCAGGGAAGACTGGAAGGGTGAGGGACTTGCCACCACCTGCAGCAACCCTCAATAATGGAGACAAGACAGGATATTGAGAATAAAGGCACCAACCTGACATCTTTCAGATGAACAATTTTGGGGCACATTCTACAGAATTCCTCAGAAAATCCCCAGTAGAATTGATCCTTGGCTGCCCAGATCATTAAACAACTCAATAGCATTATTGACTTTTCCTTCCCTGTCTCATTCTCCTCACTCTGCTTTCTGGGATTCATCTTCCAAAAAAATTACCAACATCCAAGTTCGAATGTTAGACTCTCTTTTGGGACAACCCAAACAAAGATAGGAATTTAAGATTAAATCTTCCAATAACTTATAGCACTCAGTGTTCTTTTGAATCCTGCATTTTCATTTCAAATTTTCAATGGTACTCTAAAAACCTTTTTAGCCCTATGTACATGTTATGTAGTAGCATGATTTATCTGTTTCAGGGAGATGATAGATTTATATATACCTGAAATGTACATTTAAATGCTTCAAATCTATATTTTAAAGTAAAAACTCTTGAATTTTGAGATCATTTAAAGAGCATTTGTTACTGTATGTTTACCTTCTCTAACTATGCATAGTTCACTTGTTAAAACCCAGTGATAAAGGAAGGGACATATTTCCTTAACTTGACATTTCATTCTGTAGGATGTTATTTTTTCCAGGAATTCTGTTTTATGGGACTGTATTAGGAAAGTGTTTATTTGACATCTGTCATGATAGGTTTCATTTACTGTTTTCTTTATTTTATCTTACTCTTGAAGGTGAAAAACCAGTGTATTCAAGAAAACCTCCCACCAGGTACCAGCGGACTAGCAACATCTGAGCCACGTTTCTCTCATTCAGTGGAGAAAGCATGTTACATGCAGCTGCTTAAGCCTTTTCTTTTCTCCAAGGTGCTAATTTAGTTAGTATTTAGTGAGTAACAAAATTACCTTTAAAAACAGAAAATAAATTAACAGGTTTATTTATTTTTCTTTATTTTTATCCTTCCCAAAACCCGAATCTATACATGTCTGGTATTAAATGATGTTTAATGATTAACATTGACTGTCTGGTGATATGTAATTATTTAGAAATTCAAAAACATCGAGGTTGTAGAGAGAAAAAGTAAAACCTGTGGATTTGAAGTGTGTCAGAAATGTATTCTAAAGCTTTATGCAAATAACCAAGCCTCCTTTCTATAGTCAGGTCTCAGATGCATATGTGTATGTATGCTGGGTAGGTTTTCTGCTTCCTAAAGTGCTTTTGTTAACACCATAATTTTAAATTAAGTTTTTCAGAAAGCTGTTCCTGCTGTACATTTTGGCATCTAAGATTAGGTCAGTGGCCATAAATCTCATTTATGTACTTAATGCAAAGGAGATATTGCTGTCTTGGGAATCATATGAGGCAGATTCCTTACTTTGCCCCTCTTACAAGATATTGACATATAAAACAAAATGCTTCCATTTTGTTTTGCATCTTTCTTCATTTAAAACTTTAAATAAAGAATGTTTATGCAGAGTTCTTTTTCATTCATAAAAATGGAAATCACCCTTAGTGTCTGCATGAGTAGGCTTGTATTCTTGTTCACGTATTCGCATGATAGATTGGCCCATAAAATCTTTACATTTGGCTTGTGCAGCTGAGTTCATGGCTGAATACGGAATGATAAAGAAGCTTTAGCATTTTGTAGAAAGCGAAGAAATCATGCCTTCTAGATGGCCCTTAAGCTAGCTTTTAACTGCCTGGAAATCAAGTAGAAATGTATAATCAAACTTGTCGTTAAAACACATGTTTAGTGTAAATCTTTGGAGCATAATCTGTAAATTAATGCAAAAAGGTTCTCTAATATTTGTTTGGTTGTCATTATATTTGCATGGAAATCTGCCAATCCAAACATATATTTTTTTTAACCTTTCTATCCATCAGAAGTTAAAATAGAAATGATGGATTGTGTCACTGACCAGTCCAACAGCCTATTTCTTTCAACACATTACTGTGTATTTACTGTTTTAGCTATATTGTTTTCAATTTCTGGCAAATAGTCAGTTTTTGATCCTGAGTAAAAAATGTCAGTGCTCACATTTCCTGTGGGGTTTTGGCCTTTTTGTGAAAAGGTAGGGGAGAGCTAAGTGAATTATGATGCTGTCATCTGAAGAAACCACAATGTATTTCTTTGCCAAATTTTAGCAAGAACAGAACTGATCATCTGCTTGTACAAGCCTTTCCTTGAACCCTACCAGCAGTTGACTCAGGCTTCTCTGCCTGTTCTCTTTCATGCTGTGAGAATGTAGCATACAGAAGTCCCTTTAACCTTCCCTTTGCAAGGTTAATTGATTTAGTTAACCACAAGGAAGATAAATTTTGTCAAAGGAATTTAGAAGTCTAAATTTAGAAATTCAGGTATTTAGAATTTCACAACTAAGCTAAATAATAGTAAAATTAAAATAAGTTGCCTCAATGCAAATAGTTTATGGAGAATCCTTGTCTTTTATTTTATTTTATTTATTGAAAACTGACACCTCTCTCAATCACAACTCTATTTCCCTGCATTCTATATGTACACAAATGCTATCTGCTACTACTAGATACATTTGTGTATAATAATCTTAGAAATCAATACATTCTGAGTGTTAATAATGGCTAATACACATTGTAATTATCTGGTATTATAGATTATCATGCTTATGTGGACCTCAATCACCATGAGTCTGTATCTTCTAATATCTTCTACTGACTGATATGGTTTGGCTCTGTGTCTCCACCCAAATCTCATCTTGAATTGTACTCCCGTAATTCCCATATGGGAGGGACCCAGTGGGAGGTAATTGAATCATGGGGGCAGTTTCCCCCATACTGTTCTTGCAGTAGTGAATAAGTCTTATGAGATCTGATGGCTTTATCAGGGGTTTCCGCTTTTGCATATTCCTCATTCTCTCTCTGCCCGCTGCCATCCACGTAAGATGGGAGTTACTCCTCCTTGCCTTCCACCATGATTGTTGAGGCTTCCCCAGCCATGTGGAACTGTAAGTCCAATTAAACCTCTTTCTTTAGCAAATTGCCCAGTCTCGGCAATTTATCAGCAGCATGAAAATGGACTAATACACTGACCCACAAGGAAGTGTCTGTTTGAACTAATGACATTATTTTCCTACCTATTTGGAACAATTCATTTAAAAATTCTCAATGTTAAGAATTGTGACAAAGATTCTTCTTTAGTTTTACATAACTTCACATTATCTTCCTTGATAAATAATTTGAGTCTTTATTTCCTCTTAGTACCTTGTTCTCTTATCACCTTTTCTTCTTTTGGTCAGTCATATCCAGTCTTTCCATAACATTCATTTAGCAATACCTTTTTTTTTTTTTTTTTTTTTTTTTTTTTTTGAGACAGAGTCTCGCTCTGTCACCCAAGCTGGAGTGCAGTGGCCGGATCTCGGCTCACTGCAAGCTCTGCCTCCTGGGTTCACTTAGCAATACTTTTTAAGCACCTAGTCTGTGTCAAGTACTATGCTAGTTGCTGGATTTATTACAGAGAATAAAATAGACATTTTCTGTACTCACAACGTTTAGAGTCTAGTGGGGAAAATACATGTAATTATACAAAGTAGAGGGGAGAGAGAGACAAAAAGGGAAAGAGAAAGAAATGCACCTAAATCAGATTTTTGCATTCCAGGTGTCAAAGGGGTTACCAGGTGAAGATGCAGAAAGAAGGAGAAAAATGGTGCCTGTCAGGGATAATTAATAGCATTTTAAAGCCTAGGAGCAAGAGAGAGTATGATGACACAGAGGACCTGAAAATAGTGGTGGAGGCTATGATAGACTCTACCTTTTCACAATGAGGAAATATGGAGCTCATTAATTTATATATATATATAAAAAAAAGTTTGCCTAACTTCGTCCAAGTGCATTGAAGTTTTGATGGTTCATGTTGCAGTGAAGATGAGTGAACTAAACAGAGAAGCTCTCATGTTGTAGAGGATTTTAAATAAACAAGATACAGTAGTCATAGCATTATGCTGTTGTAGCTGGAGGGTTTGCAATGTATTTGATCAGGAGTTAAGCAAATAACTGAGTAGCCAAGTGGTCATGGCATAAGTTGGTAAGGTTTGATATGGTAAGGTAGAGAGTCAAACTAGAGAGGGGCTGCTCAGTCTAAAGTTACTCAAAATACTCTATTTTTCTAATAAAGCACGGGCTTAAAACCTCTGAATCAACCCAGCTGTCTTATTTCCTAGATGAGGAAACGAAGGCCTAGGGAAGTTAGAGACCAAAGTCTCACAACAAGTGAGCAGCAAAGATGGCACTGGAACACATCTCCTGACTTTCACTTCGCTCACTCACCACTGTTTAAAGAACCTTTTCTAGAAATTTTTGTCAGTACTTTTGGAACAGAAAAATTATATTTGATTTCAGGAAGTTGATTTTAGGAAGCATTTACAAACTAGACTACAACTGCTAAGCAAGAACTACAATGTTTTATATGCTGCAAAAGCTTGCAGCATTACACATAATGTAACCAGTGTAGATTGCAGAATACAAGATTTGAATGATTAAGGCAATTTCCTTATATTGAAATTTGTACATTTTATAGGGGCTTTGCACTTGTAGTTCTTCTCCCAAATACTGGCATGGCTCACTTCTTCATGCCTCTTACATGTCACCTTCTCAGCAAGGTCTTTCCTGGCTACTCTGAATGCCACACTCCCACTCTAATATTTCCTCTGCTGGTTCCTTGCCTTAAATGTCTGTTTAACACTCATCCCTGTCTAACATGGGATATATTTTACTTCTTCAGTTTTTCATACTGTCTGTGATCCTCAGCTAGAATGTAGGTTCTTAGTGAGGTAGGGATGGGGAGGTAAAAATTCTGACATCCTGAAGGAACTTAGTAAATATTTATTGAATACTACATAAAGCACAATTATTCTGTCACTTATAAGACTACTTGCATGCCAGACATGGTGGCTCATGCCTGTAATCACAGAACTTTGGGAGGCTGAGGTGAGAGGGTTGCTTGAACCCAAGAGTTTGAGACCAGCTTGGGCAATATAGCAAGACCCCATCTCTAAAAAAAATTTTTTTTAAAATTAGCTGGGCGTGGTGGTGCATATCTGTAGTCCCCGCTACTCAGGAGGCTGAGGTAGGAGGATCGCTTGAACCTAAGAGGTTGAGGCTGCAGTAAATCACGTTTGCACCACTGCACCCAGCCCAGGCAACGGAAAGACCCTCTCTCTTAAAAAAAATTATTTTTAAATTTTAAAAGATTATTTGGCTAATTTTAAAAGAAACCAAAAGTAAAAACTGATTTATTAATTATGTATGTAACTTAGTATTTCCATATACAAAATTTGCAAATACAATTGAGCTTTAATAGGTAGTTATATTTTGTATTTGACAAATCAAAATTAGTTTTGACTGTTTTCAAGAAAAATGATAATAGGTTTATGCTATTTTTATCTGTGGACGTGAAAAAATTCAATGTTGGAGGAGAGAATACAATAAAAGTAAAGGTGAGACAGAGTAAGTTTACACATGTTCGAGTTCAGAAAACACTGACAATTTTCTAAACTCATGGTGCCAATTCCCACTTCCATCAGCAATGTATTGTTTTTGTTCCGTATCTTTGTCAACAGTTAGGACTGTCAGGGTTTTTAAAATTTTTTCTATTCTGATTTGTATATTGTGGTATCTTGTGTTGGTTTTAGTTTACATTTACCTAATTACTACTGAGATTGAACTTCTCTTCATGTATTTATCAGCCATTTTGTGTCTTGTCTATTTTTCTATTGTGTTATCTGTCCTTTTTATTGATTTACATTATTTCTTTATATATTCTAGATATATATAAAAAATTTGACAAATATTTTTGTTGGAGATATCTTTTCCCATTCTGTTGTTTGACTTTTCACTGTTTTAATGGTATCTTGTATGAGCAGAATTTGTCAATTTAGTGCAGTACAGTTTATTATTTTTCCCTTATGGTTAGTGCTTTCAGTGTCCTCTTTAAGAAAACATTTACAAGTTCAAGGCCATGAAGAAATGTTATGATATCTTCTAGAAAGTTTATTGTTTACTTTCCAGATTTAGATCTACAGTATCCTCCCTCCTCCACCCCCAGCTGATTTTTGTGGATAGCGTGAGGTTAGGTATTAGATTTTATGTTTTCTACATGTTCATACAATGGAATCAGCCCCATTGATGAAAAGGATAATTCTTTCTCCAGGGCTATGCAGTGTTACCTTTCTCATAAATTAAGTATTCATACAACTGTGTCCCTTTTTCCAAACTCTTTTATCTGTTCTCTTGGTCTAATTGTCTACTTTTGTTCTAATACCACAATGTCTGAATTATAGTAGCCTTTAAGTAAGTCTTGATATTTAATAGCATAAGTCCTCCAGCTTTGTTCGTTAGAATTATCTTGGTATTTTTTAACCGTTTGCATTTCCATGAACATTTTAGATTCAGTTTGTCAATTTGAACAACAACAACAACAAAAACCCAGCTGGAATTCAGATTAGGAACGTATTAAACATATAAACTAATTAGGGGAAAATGTCAAACTTTAAAATCTGAACAGCAAATGCGCAATCACATGTGATGCTAAGGAACCTTCATATCCAAAAAGGAGAAATCAAGGGCACCAAATGTAACAAACTCCTGTACTTTTTCCATCTTTTTGTGATTTTTTGCACTGGGCTATGTAAAAATTCTTCAGCTCAATCTTCCAGCTCAATAAGCTGATGATTCTGTCTGTTCTTTCTGCTATTCATCCCAAGTACTAAGATTTTGTTTTATTTAAACTTATCATTGTTTCACTTTCATAGCAGCCAGTTTTGTTAAGACAGACACATCTTTCCTAATTTATTTGATACTAATTATAATAATTTTATTTTGTTTCCCATATTATTCAGTTTCCTAAAAGGTAAAATTCTTTTGTTTGTTGAGTTCAATGCCTCATGCCTCTTTTTCGTGCCCGTATTGGTTTTGCTTCAATTTTGGTAATTATTGACTATCAGTTTATATTTATGGACAAGCATCTTGATTCCTGATTACTGCTATCTGCAATGCATGTTCTCAGTTTCAGTGACAATCTTTTATCTCCTGGTCCTGAGTGCAGGTTTCAAATATAAGAGCTGTCTTTGGGAGATAGAGGAGAGGAAATGTTAGAAGTTGTAAAAGGAACTGCTAGAAAGAACTGAGAACAACTTAAGTAACAACATTATAAGGCACAGTAGAAGGAAGGAACAGTTTTGTATCTACGTAACTGATGCACTTATCTGTATTATATTCTTCGTCTTATTTTTGTTGAGTTTAAGAAAAATAGCGTTCTGGCTAATACGGTGAAACCCCGTCTCTACTAAAAAAAACAAAAACACTAGCCGGGCGAGGTGGCGGGCGCCTGTAGTCCCAGCTACTCGGGAGGCTGAGGCAGGAGAATGGCGTAAACCCGGGAGGCGGAGCTTGCAGTGAGCTGAGATCCGGCCACTGCACTCCAGCCTGGGCGACAGAGCGAGACTCCGTCTCAAAAAAAAAAAAGAAAAATAGCGTTTATTTTTCCCTCCCATTCCTCCTACTTCTCCAGTTAGCAATTTCTAACTATTTTGAAAGATGCCTTATAACTTTATGCAACACATTATCTCTCTACTAATATGGCATCTTCAGACATTCTCTATTGCTCTATTGTCCCCTACTATAAAGGGTGAGGAATTAGTTAAATTTTATTTGATGTTTACCATATGCTGGGCACTGTATTACCTCATTTGTCCTCTCAACAACCTGAATTATGTACTGTTATTATCCTTATTTTACAGATGATGAAGCTGAGGCATCTAGAAGTTCATGAGGTCAAATTTACATAGCAAGCCAGTGGTGGGATACACTCAAGCACACCGGCTTTGATGCCTCTGCTTTAACCTCTTTGCAATATGGCTTCTCCATAGGTCAGCAAAATACCTATATTATAACTCTGTTATTGAAGGATTATATAAGAATATTTGGTACTTTTCTCAAGGTATTTAGCTATGAAATTTTAAATGAGAAATTTAAGTGTAGAAATTTGTCATATGTTATAAAACTATTTCCCACAGAATTCTCATAGCAATGGTTCCTCAGTACTGATGCTTAGCAAATATGTATTGGATGAATTCTTCTGCTACATTTAGTTGTTTTATTAGTAATTGTGAAAATAATTCCCCTGTACTGTTAAAGCAATTTGATGATAGAATAACTTTAGAGCATTAATCCTTACTTTTAAGTGAATTCTCCTTGGGCAAACAATACATAAAGATGAAGTGATCCAGCATAAAGTGAACAATAGCCTTTTATTAAAATGTCTAAATGTGGCAGTAACTAAAGAGGTCAGCTGGCAACTGCACTGTTTTGGAAAGCTACTGACTTTGGGAGCAAAGTGATGTTGACAGAGTCACCTCTACTGTTCAGATTTTGAAGTCTGATGACATCCTGTGTTCACTCTGTAAATAAAAATACCTTAAGAAAAAAAAAGGAAACAAAATGTTTTCCCTCCTTCCCCAAATGGCACAGTCTCTTGGCTGTAGTCCCATAAATATGTTCATTGAAACAAAACCAAAAATGTGTAAAGCCAGACATAAAACCAAAATTCTCTATGAGAAAGCTGACTTGAAGACATTCACAGAAAAGTGACACATCTAAAGCCTCTTATATCTTAATAACATCATCCTTAAATAGATTTTTTAATGCCATGTTCAGAATTTGACCTTGTTTTTAAAAATCCAATTTAATTACTTTATGTCGCCACTAATACAAGATTTGAGAAGAAAAGGATTAAAATCCATCTCGAAGTCATCCGTGAACATTGTCTTCATTATTTTTTCTTTTATTCTTTTATTTCTTGTTTAAATAACATAATATTTGAATGAAAATGTTAAAAATTCTGTTCAAAGGCGTTGTTAAACTCCTTCTGAAAACAAGAGAATTTTCCTATTTTTTTTTTATTCCTTCAATCAAGTAGGTACAACCTGAGATAAACATGATGTTCAGAGGCATATAATAGAGTTCAGAGTATAAGAACAAGCTGATAATCAAGTAGTTTCCTACTAATCCAGGAAATGTCCCACAATACAGAACAGTTTGGAAAATATGGGAGAAAAATTAAGAGATATAGAGGAGAATTTGAGGAGGTCACACTTTCAAATAAATAGGAATAAATAGGTAGTGGTAGAAAAATAATTTTTGAAAATAGAAGAAAATTGTCCTTAGTTTTAAAAACGTATAATTATTCAGATTAAAGCTCCCACCCAAAATTTGGTAGATGCTCTCAGGGTTCTACTCTCCAACTCCAAAGCAAAACAGAAATGTAGCGATACAGAAAAGACAAGGAAAGGAAATTTTAAATCATATAGGTTTGACATGACCAAAAATTATTAGAAAATGGTTGTGAAACTGCCTTTGCAGAATTATGATAGTAAAAGAAATCTGACATAGTTGACTCCATTTTGCTTCTGACCTCCAAGCCATCCTTGGTCATTCCTAGGCAAAGGCCAAGCTAACCTTGGGAGGAATTTTCTTTATAGTTTAAGGCAAGTATGACAATAGTCCCTCCCTAATCTAACCCTCTCCTTGCTTAGAGACCAAAAACCTCCTTTGTAAGAATGGGATTATGGGAAGGGCTTCAATGTGGCTAAAATGTAGGCATAGTGTCTATAATCCCTTACTGCTCAAGATTCATGTGGCCAGAGGTCACAAGATTTGTGACTTTTCCAATTATTCCTGTAGATAACATCACTATGTAGAAGCTAAGATTGGTTCTCAAGATATTTTTTCAGACTGACCCCACGTCCCCACATGGACCCATGACTCATGACTCAACTGGTCCTGCAGCCCCACTGGAGGTAGACTCAGTGCATGAGGGCTGTTTTCCACACCCTTGTGATTTCATCCCCAACCAATCAGCAACACCCATTTCCTGGCCCCCTGCCCACTGAATTCTCCATAAAAACCCTAACCCCTGAGTCTTTGGAGAGACATATTTGAGTGATAACTTCAGTTCTCCTGTGTGGGCCGGGTTCCCGTCAGTTAAACTCTTTCTCTACTGCAATGCCAGAATCTCAGTGAATTGATTTTGTCTGTGAAGTGGTCAGGATGAACCCATCAGGAAATTACAGTGGCAGTACAAATTGAGAAGTGGGAAGAAGCGTGTCTATTCAGAGTCACCTCTAGATGAGTGAAATAGTATTAGGAAGACCTTTTTTAGAAAATCCATAAAACTGCCTTTTTTCTTACCTTCTTATTGAAGTATTCCCACAGAGAAAAGAGCACAAATCAAGAATAAAACTTAATGAATGTTTACAAAGTGATCACACCTGTATAACTATTACCCAAGTCAAGAAATAAAACGTTATCAAAACCACAGAAGTTCTCCCTTCTTTGTGCCCTTCGCAGTCACTATTGCTCCCCTCTTTCCAGAAAGTAACCACAGTTCTCACAATTAATACATAGATGATTAGTTTTGCTTGTTTTTGAACTCTATAGATGAAAGTATTTGGTATTTACTCCTGTGTATTCTGTTGCGCCTGGCCTCTTTTGAAACCACCTTTACAAACTTATGACAGTAGGAGAAATATGACATAGTTGACTCCATCTTGCTTCAAGCCTTATAAGCTGGCTGTCTTCACTCTGTCCTTGGCATAGGCCAAGCTAACCATGGGAGGAATTTAGTTTATAGTTTAACCTTAAAGCAAGGGTGATGATAGCGCTCTCCAAAGTTAAATTGCCTTTGTAAAACTATTGAAAGACCACAAGATTAGGATTACAGAAGGAAACTGAACTCTGCTAAAATGTAGGCATAGTTTCTATAATCCCTTACTGCTCAGAGGTCATCATGGGATCAGAGGTCACAAGATTTGTGACTTCCCTAGTTGTTCCTGTAGATAACATCACAATTGAAGAACCTAAGATTGGCCTTTTGAGGGTTTTTTTCAGACTTTTCCATTTCTGATGACCAGCTGACTCCACTCATACCCGTGGAATTTAGGGAGACCCTTCAGAGAGGTCAGGGTTCAGAAAACTGACTGAATATTTTGAGAGCTTTTATTTTTTTCTCCCTCCCAAAATTACATTGAAATGACAGAAGAAATGTAAAATAATAATAAATCTATAGCAACTTTAGACAGCAGGGAAGAGTGCCATTAGCAGTGTGAGTTTTTGGAAGGTATAAAAGAAATAGAATAAGGTGGATGGCCAATTACAACAAAGATGACCCTGCAACTCCACAGAGAAGGAAAAGATTCTGCAAAACAAAAGGAACCATGAAAATAAGCCCAAGGTTAACAACTGCAGGGAACTAGAAGGAAAAGGCTATGTCTGGAGAGCCAGCTATTTAATTATGGGGTAGTAAAACAATTGCACAAGCACTCTGCTTGCAAAGCGGTTGGCTTTCTTACATACAGGATAAAGCCACAAATACAAAAATCTAAATCTGATGTGGGAGATTCCCAAAGGAACCTTTGATTGGGTAGAGTCTCCTCTGACTTATGGACCCCAAAAGAGAAGGAAGTATATACACTCAAGAGATATCCAAGCATACAAGCCAGCTGACGGTGTGTCCAGAACCCATGTAATATCTACACCCTTGGAGCCAGGTGAACATTTTCATTTGAAATATGTTCCAGCTAACAACATCAGAACCAGACAAAGCGGCATCAACCTTAACAAACAAAATAATATATCCTTTGGGAAAACAAAATTAATTTGGGAGATAAATGAAATTTCAGAATTACTTAATTTTTTTAGTGACATTCAAGCAGATAATATGTCTGAAAAAAAAAGCCATGAAAATGAAATGATTAGTTATTTTTTAAAAATCAGTAGTTGGACTGAAAAGTAGAAAGAACAAACTAAAGATCAGTTTAATGAACTGAAAGGTTGGACAGACTAATTTTCACATAGCTCCATGTAAAATGGCAAACAGGAAAAGAGTATAAGAATTTGTTAGGCTTAACGTCATTTCTTTTCCTTTTTGGGTTTTGCAAATTCTCAGCCTTGTAATTCTTTTTCAGTCTTTCTTTCCTAATCTTGCTTTACATTTTCCAGAAATTTCTTACTCTTCTTGTATGTTGGTAGCATGCCTCTAACTTTGCACTATTTCTAAAAATATATTTTTATTATATATTATTATAAATAAATATACACTATATAAATAAATATATATAATAAACACATATATTTCTTGAGACATAGTCTCGCTCTGTCACCCAGGCTGGAGTGCAGTGGCTGATCTTGGCTCACTACAACCTCCATCTCTCATGGTCAAGCAACTCTCGTGCCTCAGCCTCCTGAGTAATTGGGATTATAGGCATGCACCAATACGCCTGGCTAATTTTTGTATTTTTAGTGGAGACGGGGTTTCTCCATATTGAACAGCCTGGTCTTAAACTCCAGGCCTCAGGTGACGCATCTGCCTCGGCCTGCAAAGGTGCTGAGATTACAATTGTGAGTCATGGTGCTCAACCTCTAAGAATTTATTTTTAGATTTACCTTTCTACTGTCACTTCAGGAGAATTTGGAAAGGGATGAGACATAAATACTTAAGTTCAGTTGGTCACCTTGAACCACAACAATATAATCTTAAGATTTGAGGGAAGAGCCTTTCACATTCATTACCTTGGGGTTTTTTTTCTTTCACATTTGGTTTATTTTTCAGAATGTGCGTAGACACCGTATTCCCAGAAGTACTTTTCTCAGTAGACTGCCTTGTCCACCAGAGTGACATGAAGATTGGTGATGGTCTCTCTCCACCTAAAACAATCCTGCACATTCAGAGTATTTCTCACTAGGCACCTGCTAGCACTGGACACTATAATTAGTCTATGAAGGTTAGTAGACTTGCTTAAGGTTTTTTTGTTTTTGTGGCAACCAAGTAGGTGAAGTAAGTTGACCAGCTGGCTCTTTTTCAATAACAAAGTTTAAAAATGAAAACGCATTAGTGATCGCAAGTATGTATACTGACAGCTTTAAAATGCAAGACCTTGATTACAATCCTATGAAAAAATCCCATAAAATATATTTATATACGATTTCATCTAGGAAAAGCTATTCCAAATACATTATACACAAATTTTTTGGTAATTAACTAAAAATAAAATGTCTTTTTTAGTACAGTTTTAAATGTGAAAATGATTCCTGGATCAGTTTCTGCAGTGGAAGACTTCCAGTAGTTCTTATGTGTTGCAGTCTTAGTTTAGGCTATGAAGCAAAGATATTTGTTGTTTTTAGTTATTGATTTCTAGCTTAATTAAATAGTGGTCAAAGAATGTACTTCATATGATTTTAGTTTCTTTAAATTCGTTGAGGCTTGCTTTATGGCCTAGCACACAACCAAGTTTGGTAAATGATTTATATGCACTCGTAAAGAATATGTATTCTCTTATCATTGTGTGCACTGTTATATACATGAAAATTTAGAAACGTTTACTAAAAGTTTTCTTTAGATCTTCTATATGTTTGCTAATTTTTTCTTTATAAGTAACTGAGAGAGGTGGTTGTATGGATTTGTTTTCTCCTTTAAGTTCTGTTAGTTTTTGCTTTAGTTATTTGAAGATATGTGAAATCAAATTTAGAATTATTTTCTTTTCCTGGTGGATTTTATTTTGCTACACGTTCTACTTCAATAATAAAATAACTATACCAACTTTCTTTTGGTTAATATTTCTATAGTGTATCTTCTTCTACCTTTTTTATTTCTAACCTTTCTCTATGCTTATATTTCAGGAATATGCCTTTTAAGCAACATCTGGTTTTACTTTTAATCCAGTTTGAAAATATTTGGCTTTTAATTGGAGTGATTGCTTTTAATATACTTACTGATATATTTGTGTTTATACTTATCCTCTATTTTCTGCATGTCTCTCCTGTTATATGCTCCTTTTTTTTTCTTCTTTACAATATTTAAGTTAATTAGGCATTCTTCATTATTCTATTCCCCCCTTTATTGGTTTATTAATTATACATTCATTTACTGTGTTTTACTGCATATGCTGAGGAATACAATATATTGCCTGGACTTATTACAAACTAATATAACTTTTCAGATATTTTCACTTCTTGGACAATGCTAGGTCTGTAAAGTATTTTAACTTTATGTATTACCATCCTTTGTATTATTGATCATTTTAGTCCTACGTATGTTTTAGCTCCCAGAAGACATTATAATTACTGTTTTTTACAATCAATAACCATTTATATTCACCCACATTTTTATTCTTTCTATCATATTTCATTCCTTTCTGAATTTCTATGTATCCATTTGGAATCTTTTTTTTTCCTTTTTTTTTTTGTCCAGCAGAACTCATGTTAGTATATATTTTAGTGAGAATATGCTGGTGAAAATTTTACATGCTGTTGTTAGTCTGGAAATGTCTTTATTTTGCCTTCTTGTTTGGGGAGTATTTTCCTTCCTTCCTTCCTTCCTTCCTTCCTTCCTCTTCCTTTTTCTCTCTCTTTCTTTCTTTCTTCCCTTCCTTTTTTTCTTTTTTTTCTTTCTTTCTTTCTCTCTTTATTTCTTTTTCTTTCTTTCTTTCTTACTACTTACTTTCTTTCTTTCTTTTTTCAAAGTCTGTCTCTGTCACCCAGGGTGGAGTGGTGCAGTGGCACAATCTCAGAACACTGCAACCTCCGCCTTCCGGGCCCAAGCGATCCTCCTGTCTCAGCCTCCCAAGTAGCTGAGACTACAGACACACACCTCTATGCCTGGCTAATTTTTTGTATTTTTTGTAGAGATGGGGTTTCACCATGTTGCCCAGGCTTGTCTCAAACTCCTTGGTGCAAGCAATCTGCCTGCATCAGCCTTACAAAGAGCTGGGATTACAGGGTTGAGCCATTGTGCCCAGCCCTGGAGAGTTTTTTGCTGGGTATAAAATTCTAGAAAGACAGTTCTCTTTTGGCATCTTGAAGATATATTTCCATTGTGTGTCTTTTATTATTTCCGTTAAGAAGTTAACCATAATTCTTACTGCTATACCTTTGAAAGTAATGTATACTTTTGCCATTTATCTGTTTTCTGGTTTTTTTCTTTGTCCTTTGTCTTTGGTTTCCATCAGTTTTGCTGTGCTATACCTAGGTGTGGTTTTCTTTGCCCACATGTCTTTCACTTTGGAAATTTTTGCCTTTATTACTTAAATTGTTCTGTCCTATTTTTTTCTCTTCTGCTCCCTCTGGGACTCTAATTAGATACAACTTTTTACCAGGCCTATATAGCTATAATCTTCTCAGTACTTCCATTCTTTTTATTCACCAAGTTTCAGCTTAAATACTTTCTGGCATTTCTTCTAAATCACTAAACCTCTCTTCAGCTTCCAGTATTCTATTTAACCTACTTAATAAGTCCTTAGTTTCAGTGATTTCATTTTTTTAAGTTTCAGGTTGCTTTTCGGTTCTTTTTTATACATTCCAGCCAGCTCTCTGGAATCTATAAATTATTCATCCTATCATCTATTTTTGACATATTAATCACAGCTCTTTTTTGAAACAATTTTTTCTTGATGCATAACAGATGTACATAGTTTTGGGGTACATGTCAATAATTTAATACATTCATATAATTTGTAAAGATCAAATCGATATACTTGGAATATCTATCACCTTAACTTTTTTTAAAATTCTAGAAACATTTGAATTATTCTTTTCTAACTATTTTGAAATGTACAATAAATTATTGTAAACTGTAGCCATCCTAATGATTTATCAAATTCTAGGTCTTATTTCTTCTATTAAACCATATATTTGTATCTATTAATCAATTTATCTTCATATCTCCCTTCCCCCTACCCTTCCTGGCATCTGGTAACCACCAACCTACTCTCTGTCTTCTCAAGATCAACTTTTTTAGTTCCCACATTGAGTATGAACATCCATTACTTGTCTTTCTGTGCTTGGCTTATTTCACTTAATGTAATGACTTCCAGTTCCATCCATGTTGCTGCAAATGACAGAATTTTGGCCTTTTTTGCAGCTGAATAATGTTTCATTGTGTATCTATACCACATTTTCTTCATCCATTCATCTGTTCCTACACACTTAGGTTGATTCCATATTTTGACTATTGTGAATAATGCTGCAATAAACATGGGAGTGCAGATATCTCTTTAATATATTGATTTCCTTTATTTTGGATATATACCCAGTAGTGGAATTACTGGATCATATGGTAGTTATATTTTTAGTTTTTTGAGAAACCTCTATACTCTTCTCCATAGTTTCTCTGCTAATTTACATTCCCACCAACAGTGTATGAGGGTTCCCCTTTTCCACATCCTCACCAGCATCTGCTACTGCCTGTCTTTTTGACATAAACCATTTGGACTGGGGAGAGATAATATGTCATTGTTGCAAAGTATTTGCAGTTGCTGACTCTGAATTTTAAACCATTATAACTACGCTCAAACACATCTTTATTAATCAAAATAGGAACCATTACAATCAACACATTTTTGCCAATAAGAAATGTTTGTTTATTCCTGTAGTGTAAAAATTTGTGCTTTAGGATTCAACAAACTCTTGGAAAGCATTTTCTGCATTCTGCTGGTTGTGGAAGCATTTTCCCTGCAAAAGGTTGTCAAGATGCTTGAAGTGGGTGTTGGTTGGTGAGAGGTCAGGTGAATACGGCGGATGAGGCAAAACTTTGTAGCCCAATTTGTTCAACTTTTGAAGTGTTGGTTGTGCAACATGTGGTCAGGCGTTGTCGTGAAGAACTGGGCCCTTTCTGTTGACCGATGCCGGCTGCGGGCG